CATCCCAGCGCTGCGTGACATCATCAATGACCCCTCACCCCCCCACCATGCTGCCCTCTGGGAAGAGGCTTCCCAGCATTCAATGCAGGACCAGCAGGTTCTGCAGCAGCTTCTTCCCCACCGCCATCACACTGATGACACCAAACCAACAACACTGCATCAATGTGTTTTTCTCCCACAATGTTTATATTTGATCACTGCTGCACTTAAAGGAATGTCATGAAACATGAAAGCTGTACAAAAGGAAATGTGGTTCTCTGTGTATACAGGACCACAAAAAGGTTGTCTAAGTTTATCTCCTTGAACTGAGGACAAACTCCATGATTGTCTATTTTTGTCCCCCAGAGATGATAATAGGTTTGAAGAGACAGGATACTTTCACCTTGTGTTCAGTCATCTACTTAATGTATTACCTGCAGAAAAGCCATTAACAGCACAATGTGACCCCGGTAATAACCAGACCATAGGAGCTGAACACTGCAGCAACTGACAGGACAGAAAGATTAGTGAGTGCAAAGGATGAGGACAGCAGGACACTGAGGACAGCAGGACACTGAGGACAGCAGGACACCGAGGACAGCAGCAGATGTAGGAGGTTCAGAGGGAAAGAAGTCAACCTCGGCTACAGCTGATGAGGAAACGAGCCTGGAGAAGGAATCCAAGGTCAGACAGTCCCTCTGGATATAACTTTTATTATTAACAAATCTGGTAAAACATGCTAATATCTAACAGACAGACCTAGATGTGTGGAGGTGTGTTACAGGCCTCCTCAGCACCTCCTGGAGGAGCAGCAGGAGGTAACTCATCACACCCATCATTAGCTGTGAGAGATGGAGCTGCTCTCTGCTCTGTTTCATCTTAGTTCATCTTTGGACGTCACCCTGCTGTGCATCTAGGCTGCTACTATCTATGTTCCATTGTGTTTATTTCACAACATCTGGCAGAAAAACTTATCAGACTGAATGATAAATCAAATGTAGACTTTCTGGTTTCAAACATTAAAACCCTAATGATGATGGCGGGAGGAGGAGCCCTATCTGCTGGGTTTTCTGTCTGTGAGGAAAGCAGGATTAACCCAGAGCTGATGGACGCTGCAGGGATCCTCAGAGACGCTGCCTTACCGCTCAGCCTCTTCTTTGCAGCCCGGCTTCTCACCCAGCTCCTGGTCAAGGGAGGAGGACGTGCTTCCTTCTCGGCTCACCCCGCTGTTACGCCCCGGGCTGTTGTCCACGGACCCTCTCCCTTCCCCAGCAGCGGCGGAGCGCGGGGCGGCGGTGTCTGTGTGCTGCTTCAAGGTCTGAAGCTTGGCCAGCGGGATTATGTCACAGCCTTGAGGCCTGTGCCAGACCGTTCTCTGGGTGGAGGCATTGTAGTAGTAGAAGCGGGAGGTGTTGGGGTCAAACAGTTCCCACCACTGGTTTTCACCAGTCCGCTTGATGCACACTCCCTGCGGGGGGTCCCAGACGCACTCGCCCGTCAGCAGGTTGGCATACATGCGCTCCCGTGTGCGTGGTTCAATGATCTCCACCCACTCCAACCTGCAGAACGACAGAGAGGATCAGATCAACCATAGATATCACATCGATCTAAACCAAGATATTCACTTGACTTTTCATTATTTAGGACAAACCGATTCAGTTCTTTGGTCTTGGTGCCACTTATGCCTGATTATACTAGACTTCAGAGTATCACTGAAAGACGCTTTTTCTGCACCGTCCCTTTGACCTGACAGTTCCCCCGTTGAGAGAGTTTCAGAGGTACTTAGGAAAGGAGGTGGGAAACAAGACACTAACAGCATGGATAGGCTGCAGAACTAAACAACTGGCCAGACATCGCATTCTGGATCCTTGTCTGCATGAGAGGACGGCACACACAGCACCGGGCCAACGCAGTCAAAGTTGTTGAGTTTCCCCAGTTTGAGGTCAGAGGTCAGAGTGGAACAGATGTACTTCCACACAGACCAGATCACTCCTACCAAACCACACACTGCAGGATATTTTAGCACCTCTCAGAACGGGAAAGATTTCCATGATTATCTGGCCGTGTGAATCCGCCAGCTGAGGTCAGGTGAGTGGAGGCAGGGACACATTTAAAACATGGAGGACAGGTATTCCCTGATGACCAAGGTTGAAGCCAGAAGAAGAGAATTCAAGGCATATATCTAATGGGCATTAGGACCCAGAGGGCAGCCCCTAAACCTCTGCTGACACACCTGTGGACTAGGGGTGGAACGGTTCACAAAATCCACGGTTCGGTTCTGTTCACGTTTTCGTGGTCACAGTTTTCGGTTCGGTTCGGTATATGTTGATTGTTAGGAAAATCTACTATGTCTTGTAAAGTACAACGCGTGTGTATAAACCCTGTGAACATTTAATTTAATATTAATATTTTAAAAAAATCCCCGTCATCATCATCCAGCAGATGTTCAGTTTCTGCCCAAATATTTTCTTTCTGTGGATTTTTGTAACAGGAATAACTAGGATCATCCATAGTTTGAATGAACTCTGTTTTCTGCTTCCAAACTCATCGTCTCTTCATCCATTCCTGCAATAAGAATTTTCTTTTAAAGTTGTGAGATTCACTCTAGAATCTCACAACTTCTTCCTGGTCTGTTGAAGCACCAATAGTCTGCATCCATTATTTAATGAATTGCTCTTAGTTTTTGGATTATATACGAACTATGCTCTAATTTCTAGTTACCGATCTGTTTTTACTATAATTT